AATTCTTCAGATCAAAAATTATTTAAAAATTTTTTTTTAATTTATGAGCTGAAAATTGAACATTTTTTGTTCGATTTTTGTGCAGTTTCACACTTTTAACAGAATGTTTGATATACATTTTTTTATGTTGAAGTAAAGCCCTTCTTTTTTTCAATCCCAATAGGTAAAAGGTGCACTCGTCTTTCCAAGAGTGACATCAGAGTTCAGATTGTTCACAGTGATCACAATGCTACACGGGGCAATGATGATGAGGAAGATGTCAAAGAGCCCATGGTAAATTCCTTTGTTCACTGTCTTTGTATGCCAGATATGTCTATGGGGGGTTAGGGAAAATTCACATTAACACTGTAATGAAATACTCGGGTTTGTTTTGTTCCTATTCAAAAGAGGTCTTGTTCAACCTAGTAATTCTTCAAAAATGCTTGGTCTTTCCTCAGGCTCCGAACAGCAGTGAGTCTCCTGGGACGTCGCGCACAGAACACAGCGACCTCCTAGAGGAAGAGGAGGATGAGAGATCGGACATCAAGGTAAAACTGAAAATACTTTCTTGAACAACCAAAACAGCAAGAATGCATTATTTTCATCTATTATACATAATAACGAACTATGCAAAGTTCATGATTTAATTTTATCTTCTTCTCATAGGACCCCACCAATGGGTACTACAATGTCCGTGGCCATGAAGATCGCCACATCCGCAGCAGTGGATTCTCTGAATATGTGCCCAACACTCGACCAGTCTACACTCCATCGCAGCTGCCCTCTCCCAGCCCCATGTACGGTCAGCATGGCACCCAGCCTCGTATCTATGACTTCTCCCAACGATACGCAACCACCACAGCGGGCAGAACCGCATACGAACAGCAGCAAGCTGCACAGCAGCAGCCGGCCCAACCAGCCAGCATTTATCCCACTGATCCCGTCTACAGTGGCTCTGCTTACCTACCTGCTACCTATGGTCGCGCCTTCACCAGCTATGTTAAGCCTGCTTCCTATGAGAAGGTGGATGCGTATGACCAATCAGATCAGGCCAGCAAGGTGTCCAGCTCGTCTCGCTTCTCTTATGCCTCCTCACAAGTGTCCTCCCAGCAGTCTGACTATGGCCGGCCCTCACAACGTATGCAGACGCATGTTTGATTGGACAAAGACATTGGGAAAAAAAGGAAGAGTACAGGAGCAGTGAATAGATAACCATTGTCACCTCCACATACATGTGTGGTTGGACTAACATGAACAGAGACTTTCTTTACTTGGACGGTCCTTCAAGGATGTGTTTGGACAGTATTTGGAGGGAGTGGTGTGATTTAGGTTATGGGATAACCAGTCTTTGTTGTGATGGTTTGAGGGATCTACAACAGTGCTAACTGTGGAGCTCCTGGGCTGGATAATTCAGCAGATTGTGATGTTCAAGTCAAACTTATGATTACAGTGTGATACCTCACCAGGTTATCTCTACATGATGACCACCCAAAACTGTGGAGATATTGTGTCAGTGCAAAGGCCAACTAGAAAATAAATAAATTTCATCTCCTGAATTTGGGTGGCCAAAATGACTGGGGTAGCTGTTTACCTGCCTTCCAGAGTTTACTTTGTGTCAACACTAAATGTCAAACATGAGCTCTAAAATCCTTTGAAAGAAAATGTGACAAGCTAAGACATATTTGAGGAAAAAAACAGATATGAGCAACCTATTGTTGTCTGTCATTTGGTGTTTTGTTGGCATGCGAAAGGAATTCTAAGCACATTTGTGTCTCTATCATCAACAAAAGACTGAGCTATCCACAGAGACAGACATGAACTATATTCTGCACAACAGGCTAGCTCTACTGACCGACAAGTGCTACAGGCACTGTACTGTCTAATCAGCGGTGGAATACTTCTGGCCTGAGCTGTATTCCTGGAGCTTCTTCTGATAACAACTCTAACATGTTGGACTTAGTAGTGTTGCTTACTGGTAAATAAAAGAACGAGATTTGAAGAGAATGTGTATTTTAGCCTCCATTGTAATGGGGGACTAAATGTTATCCGTGTGTTGTACCAAGATGGACAAGGTAAGGCCATGAAAACCCAAAGATGGTGATAATTTTATAGGGGGGAAACAGGGGCTGAGGCTGAATTCTAATGTCTTACCCCTGGTACTGTTTTCTGATTGTAATGCGGAGTAGGCTATTACCAGAACAATCAAAAGTGGTGGTTTGGAATGGTGGCAATCTTGAACTTGAAATAAACTTGAATGCAGCGTCAACTTCAGCAGGCTCAGGTGGGGAAAGACGTGTAAGGCAGTCCTAATGTGGACCATACACTCAAGTTTTACAACTCAATCAAATTGTCTCAATATGTTTACAAGAAACAGTACTACCCTGAAACACTAAGTATCTGTACAAATGGCTGAGCCCATACTTTCTCTCTGTTGCATGCAAATGATGTGTCTAGTGAAAATCTTCAGCGTTTATATTCATGTCCATTTCATGTTTGAGACATTCTTCACCTGGCCCGGTTGCATTCCAATTCCTGGATGTTTCAGTATGCACACCTGTACTGCCATTTGTCTAAAAACCTGTTACCAGGCAGCCTGATGAGAGAACAAACATCACTTAAAGTGAGGAGGCAAACATCATCGCTTGTCTTTATTTTTATATTTTATATAAGCCTTAATGTACAGCGTGTAAGCTGCTCTATTGTAAAGTATCTTTATATACATATGTATCTATCTTGGTTGATTTATTTGGGTCCACAGATTTTCTTGTCTAAGTTGTTCATCAATCATTGAATGCAGTTACTATGCTGTTTTGGAACACAACTAATTGCCATTCGTTTGTTCATTCTTTTAATAATGTATTAAGAATTTTATTTGCTAAAAATGAGCTGTTGTTGCTTGTACCTTTGTACACATATTTATATTTAAATAAAACCATTTCCGATAAAGAACTGGCTGGTGTGAATCCTGAGAGTTAATCAGTCTGGTGAGCAGCTTCATTGGGCATGGGGAACAGCGACAAACAAAGCTTTCCATGTTGCAACAATGATGAATACATAAATTAGCAGCACTGTCTATGTTGATTTTCCCATTCCCCCAGTGGTACGCAGCTTTTAATGAAGACAGATGAGATAGTAGAACCCCCACTGTATGTGTATCCACCTCCTGAAGTCGACATGCCCATCTCATAGGGTAATAGAATAGAGCTGACAAAGGTAGGTATTATTTGACAATATGAGTTCATCTTGTCACCTCTGTTCCCCAGGCAGGCATGCTGCTCACGGCGGGGAGGAGAAGTACATGCTCATTACAATTCTACTGTGAGAAGGGACAAGGTCTCACAAGACTCGCATTTATTATGCACGACATAATACAAAACGACACCTCATCAAAGACAAATAATACAGGTAATGCAATTAGGTAGAGGAATCAGATAAAAGATGTTTATTAGCATGACTCATATAAAAACATATACAAACACACACAAACCAAGAAAGGTTATAAAGTATGTCCATAATCCAAATCACAGTCACAGAGTACAATAAAAATAACGTCCATCTAAAACTTGTGGCCTCTCACTGCTGTCTGAGAAATACACATTTATACTTGCATAGTTTAACTGTAAACCTTTGAATGTCCTTTGAATAATATCCTGAACAAATTATTCTTCTTAAATTTCCCCCTTTCAATAAATAATACTTATGCAAATCTTTGGTGTTTATCCAGGATACAATATTTCATAAGTTAGAGATACATGGGAAAAGTAAAACAAACCATTCGGTCAAATCTTAAAATTGAAGTTGATTGAGTTGGTTGTGACCAAAAAGAAGAAAACTCTCATAGGGATTAGAACTCATTGCATTGCTTTGGCAACTAGTGAAAACCCCAGTGGTTTGCTTTGGCTCTCAGGTGTGTGTGACTGAAGACCCCAATCGCCCTGAGCTTAACTAGAGACCTGTGCAAAAGCCAACTGGATCTAATCCTCATCCTCTGCTCAGAATGTCACATTTTGGCAAATCATTCTCAGGCCAGGCAAGGCCAGTAAGCATCTGTAAATATGTAATAAAAATACTTATGTAGGACCCCCCGCCAGATCAAAAACAAATTATAACAACTTAAACATCACTCCAGTTTCACATTAACATTCTTCAGGGACCATGATGGTCTTTTTGCCTGTTTTAGCCCACTGACTACAAATCTGGTATACTTAACATTTCTGCTGGCCATTTTCCAAAGCAAACCATGGGCTTTTAGATTGATTAATGCATTTTCTACCTTCCAGGCAGCTTCTGGTTTTCATTCATTTTAATATGATATGAAAATGCCCCTGCATAGATTTGGGCAGTCTTTTTTTTCCTAATCACTCTTTTGTTTTTGTTCTTTTGTCTTCCGTTACCGTCAGATTGTAATGCAAATGTCTCTACAGGTTTATGTTTATACTTTACTGATAAAAACTGAGGCTAATTGCTGTAGATAGGTAGATAAATATGCTTTAATCAATCGAAATTGCTCTGGAAAATCATCTGCAGTAATGTATGGGTGTTTTGTAGCAAATATGCAAAAAATATTGTTATGGTCTTTTAAGATACTTGATAAATATAACCCCAGATTTATAGCTATCTACAGCATAAGCCCACTGGCAAAGTGCAATATTCAATGCAGCCCAAGTGGATGAAGACATCTCCCCTGTTTAGAAATACACAATACTAAGGCTTAAAAACACAACTACTTTTTGGAGAGGGATATTCTATTTAGAAACACTTCTTAATAAAGCTGTCTAAAATGTTCATATTCTGCCTCAATCTTAGTTGCATTGGTGAGATATTGGGAAAATAAGTCAAAATAGTACTCAGGGTATATTCACCAGTGAAACGTGAGAATATTGATGGTAGTAAAATACAATGTGCTGATTTACACCTTTAAAAACTATTCAAAATAAGAGTTGGGTATCAGTGTGTGTGTGTGTGTG